TAAATAAGCTTTGAATTAGACAAAAATTGTTCACGTTTTTAAAAGGGACACTTTTTTTTTTAAGAAAGAATGTTTTCCTACAATGTATTTTTATTGAAAAATACTGAAATAATGAAATATTTATAATTTAATTTAATATAACTTTAGATTCTAAATTATGACTAGTTTATCTACAAGTATTTATCCTATTACATTTATCTAATTATTTTATTTTAATCATTTACCTACATTATTTATGAAAACTGCGATAGTCATCATTTAAAGTTATGAAACCACCATTGCAAAATTATAACTGAGACAGTGAAAAAGATTTGCCCTAAGTGACTCCATCTTGCTTCTAAACTCCAAGCTGTCCTTGTTCATTCCTGGGTATGGGCTGAACTAACTTTGCTAGGAACTTAGTTTATAGTTTAGCTTTGAAACAAAAATAGTAACTGTCTTCCCAAAGGAAATCTCTTACTGCCTGTGGACTAGGCTGCCTAACACCACAGGATTAGAAGTTATGGTAATCTGGCTGGGCATGGGCGGCCTGTAATCCCAGCACTTTGGGAGGCCAAGGCGGGCAGATCACCTGAGGTTGGGAGTTTGAGAGCAGCCTGACCATCATGGAGAAACCCTGTCTCTACTAAAAATACAAAATTAGCCAGGCATGGTGGTGCATGCGTGTAAACCCAGCTACTTGCGAGGCTGAGGCAGGACAATCACTTGAACATGGGAGGCGGAGGTTGCTGTGAGCCAAGATCATGCCACTGCACTCCAGCCTGGGCAACAAGAGCAAAACTCTGTCTCAAAAAAAAAAAGAAGTATGGTAATCTTACTAAATTCAAGATGTAGCTATTTTTATTAAACCAATATCAATGTATTATTTATTAAAGATTACACCAGCAAAGATAATTCTGTCTTGGGCTGGTTTTATAGTTTTGTAACCTCTATAACAAATTTTGACACCTTATAGTATCTGGCTGGGAAAAGTATAAAATTGCTTGATTAGTAAATGCAAACAAAGATGTATTGCTGGCAAATTCTTAAGACATTTCTAATATTATTTTACCAATAATTTTAAATCCAGCTTATTTATTAAGATTTTACTTAAGTCCCATGAACTTGAAAAAGCATTTGACTAGTCTTTTTTTCTTTAGTATCTGATTTAAGTGCTTTTGTTTTTTTAAGCCAATTAATTAGCTCTTTTATATATTTTCAATAGTGAAATATTGTGTGCACAACACATAAATACCTAGATGTATTAGGCATGCTGATAGAAGTATATCTTGTAGATTCATAAAGACCTTTTTTTTTTTTTTTTTCTTAGACTTTCAGGTTCTTGATAACCTGTTTCACAACCCTAGGCAGTTAAATAGCTAAATAGCCTTAAATTTGCATATTAAAGGAAACAACTCAGGTGAAAAGTAACAGAATTTACATCATAAGGTACAGAGAGGAAAAGTCTGGTGTGCTAGAGGGAGATTAAAGATAGATGTCAAATCAAACATAAAATTATAAAAATCTATCATAGGATTGTATAAGGAGACCAATTTTATTTGGGTAGGGACTACCTATCTTTTAACTGGATCTCTGAGCTCTAGGCAGAGCCTATACCAAATCCTGCGTTTCCAAAAAGGGAGAATTATTATGAGGCTAGACCAAATGATGTTTTTACACTGCACTTAAAGATAATTTTTTTTAAACAGACATTTCTAAGTGTTGAATACGCTATTCCTTAAAAACCCAAGGCTAGCCTCTGTTGCAAATAACTATTTTAGTCAATAAACCATGTAACACAATACAAAAGCAAGCAGTTTAAAAGCTGAGATGAACTTGTCCGTTTATACTTTTGGCGCCTTCTCCACTTTCTTTTTTTTCTTTTTTTTTTTTTTTTTTGAGACGGAGTCTCGCTCTGTCGCCCAGGTTGGAGTGCAGTGGCCGGATGTCAGCTCACTGCAAGCTCCGCCTCCGGGGTTTACGCCATTCTCGGGGGTTTACGCCATTCTCCGGGTTTACGCCATTCTCCTACCTCAGCCTCCCGAGTAGCTGGGACTACAGACGCCCGCCACCTCGCCCAGCTAGTTTTTTGTGTATTTTTTAGTAGAGACGGGGCTTCTCCACTTTCTTAAAGGAACCCAGGCTAAACTATTTCAGGTCCCTCATGCAGCAGAGGGTGCAAGAGAAAGGAGAGACAGCAGAAGTAAATGAAGAAAACAGAATTAAGTCAACTGAGAAGAGAAACCTTGCTCAAAAGAACAACAAGGTCGTAGGAGAGAAAAAAACAAACCATGAAGACCTTTTAAATACAAACACACACACGTATCTTGGATGTTAGCTTTTAATTAAGTTGACTTTAACAAATGAGCTCCTTTAAAAAAAGAAGTTTTTAAATCTCATTACCATATTTCAACTGAGACAAATTGGTGCTATTTCATTTTCTTTTCTTTTTTCTTTTTTTTGAGATGGAGTCTTGCTCTGTTGCCCAGGCTGGAGTACAATGGCAAGATCTTGGCTCACTGCAACCTCTGCCCCCAGGTTCAAGTGATTCTCCTGCCTCAGCTTCTCGAGTAGCTAGGATTACAGGCATGTGCCACCATGCCCAGCTAAGTTTTGTATTTAATTTTATTTTCTTTCTTTGTTTTTTTGTTTTTTTGTTTTTGTTTTTTTTTTTTGTTGTTGAGATGGAGTCTTTCTCTGTTGCCCAGGCTGAAGTACAGTGGTGCAATCTCAGCTCACTACAACCTCTGCCTCCTGGGTTCAAGCAATTCTCCTCCCTCAGCCTCCCGAGTAGCTGGGACTACAGGTGCACACCGCCATATCTGGCTGATTTTTTGTATTTTAGTAGAGACAGGGTTTCACCATGTTGCCCAGGCTGGTCACAAACTCTTGAGCTCAGGCAATCAGTCTGCCTTGGCCTCCCAAAGTGCTAGGATTACCGGCGTGAGCCACTGCTCCCACCTTTATTTTTTTGTTTTTTATTTTTTGTTTGTTTGTTTGCTTTTGTTTCTTAAATTGCTGCTATTTCAGAAGTACAACCATTGCTCTTTCAGATTGGCCTGGCTAGCTAAAAGGTGGCCTTGTAAATAAAGCCCGTGTAGTACTCAAAATAAAAAATCTTTCCTCTTTTTTCTTTTCGCTGGCTGTTTTTCTCCCCCACCATACCACCTTTTTGTGTGTGTGTTTGTGGGAATTTATGTATTTGAGAGGCCTTGTTCCCCATAATTGGAACTTTCCTTCAGATTTGATCAAGTCTCATAGAGTCGGTCAAACCTAATGGGACAAAGACCAAAACAACAACAAAAACAGAAACAACAATGACAAACAGCTAAGCAAAACAAATGATCATAAACTTACATGATTACTGAATGCTTTAATGGTAAGGAGAAATTATGATCATCTGGTTGTTAACTTTAGCCAAGACTAAACCTCAATTCAGCTACTTACCTAGGGATGGGTCTCAGGCTGAAGACTGCTCTCTACCATCCTAGAAGCAGGAAAAAAAAAATCATCTTTTCTGTTGGAAGCAAGCTCAAACTCATAAAGGAATTACCTGCCTTCCATTGTCATGGAAGCAAGTAAAACTCCAAAAAAAAAAAAAAAAAAGAGGCAGTTGTACAGCAAAATAAACTTTAGATCTCAACCAAACTTTGGGAGAGCAGGGATTCTCTGGAAATCCTCAAAGAAGTCCTCTGAGGACTTCCTCTGGAAGTCCTCAGCAAAGTATTCATAAAATTAGCTTATGCTGATACCAAACACCAGTAGGAGATTTGTCAAAGTTCAATTGTTCCTCCACGCAGAGTCCCTATGTGGTTACCAAAATGTTAACCCCAGTAATTTGAGACAGGTCTCCATTAATAGAAAATTTGGCCAGGCATGGTGGCTCAAGCCTGTAATCCCAGCACTTTGGGAGGCTGAGACGGGTGGATCACGAGGTCAGGAGATCAAGACCATCCTGGCTAACACGGTGAAACCCCGTCTCTACTAAAAAAAATACAAAAAACTAGCTGGGCGAGGTGGCGGGAGCCTGTAGTCCCAGCTACTCGGGAGGCTGAGGCAGGAGAATGGCGTAAACCCGAGAGGCGGAGCTTGCAGTGAGCTGAGATCCGGCCACTGCACTCCAGCCTGAGCAACAGAGCGAGACTCCATCTCAAAAAAAAAAAAAGAAAATTTATTTTGCTAATTAACTGGGTGTGGTGGCACAAGACTGTAATTTCAGCTACTCGGGAGACTGAGGCATGAGAATTGCTTGAATCTGGGAAGTGAAGGTTGTAGTGGGTCGAGATTGCGTCACCGTACTCCAGCCTGGGCGACAGAGTGAGACTCTGTCTCTAAAAAATAAATAAAAATAAAAAATAAAGTTTATTTTGCCACAGTTGAGGATGTGCACCCATGACAGTCTCAGGAGGTCCTGATGACATGTGCCCAGGGTAGCCAGAGCATAGCTTGGTTTTATACATTTTAGGGAGAAATAAGACATCAGTTAATATATGTAAGATGAACATCGGTTTGGTCCAGAAAGGTGGGACAACTCAAAGCAGGGAGGGGGCTTCCAGGTCATAGGTAGAAAAGAGACAAATGGTTGCATTCTTTTGAGTTTCTGATTAGCCTCTCCAAAGGAGGCAATGAGATATGCATTTATCTCAGAGAGCAGAGGGGTAAGTTTGAATAGAATGGGAGGCAGGTTTGCCCTAAGAAGTTCCAAGCTTGACATATCCTTTTAGATTAGTGATTTTTTTATGTGTTGGGGGGCTCATACCTATGAATAGAGACATAAAGTAGAAGGATGGCTTTCAAGTGATGAGGGAAGGGAGGAGTGAGGAGTTAGTGTTTAATGGGTATAGAGTTTTAGTTTCACAAGATAAAAGGAGTTCTATAGATGGATGGTGGTGATGGTTGCACAACAATGTAAATGTACCTAATACCGCTGAATTCTCCATTTGCAAATGGTTAAAATGGGCCGGGTGTGGTGGCTCATGCCTGTAATCTTGTTGTGGGAAACTGAGGAACGGAGAGACCAATTTGCGAGTACTAGAGGGTATTTATTTTAAGGTACGCACTGGCTGAGTGGATTCATATACAAAAAGCTGAGCATTAAACAAAGAGCAGGGTTTTTATAAGTGGACTTACAAAAGTAAAACAAAAGCAGTTAATCATATAGTGCATAATTTGTGGCCTTGCATAGCTGGTGGCCTTGTAGCTGCGTCAAAAGAAAAACAAGAACTGGCTAAATACAGACATTTGTAAAACATAATCATGCTTAAGAAGCCAGAGAAAGGAGTAACAGTAAAGGAATTTGTCTTTCTCTTTTTTTTCCCTTCAAACTTGTTCTGGAGGGGCGAGGTGTCTGGAGCCCGTTCCTTTGGCCTTGGCTTCTCAAACAGCTTTATCTTATAACTGACCTTGAAGTGAGCTTGCTAGGCAGAGGAAAACTTGTTCTTTTCTTTTTAACCCTTGCCTTTCCTGTTACTTTTCTTGGAGTGAATGAATGCATATTTATTTTTAAATTTCTGCCTCAGTTTCCCCCCTTGATGCCTTTTATAAAAGAAGTTTAATAGGAGGCATCACTATTATTTAATTTTGCATGAAGAGACAAGTTTTATTCTTTAGACAAAGGTTGATATTTACATAGAGCCTTTAGCTGACTGGTAGTTTGCCTAGCTACTATTGCCTCTATAGTTGATTGAATGTTTCTAACAAGGAGAGGTAAGAGACAAGGGAGTATTAGGCAACTTCCTAGTATGGCCAGAACCACTCTTATTAAAGTCTTAAAGCCTCCGAAAAATGAAAGACAGCCTCCAAAGAGAGAACTGGAGACCACCCTTTCTATGTTTGAACTGGAACATGGGTTAATTTTCTTATTCTTGCAGTTATTTCCGTAATTGTCTTTCCATTGTCGTTGATTTCCAGGCAGCAATTAGTTAGATTGAATTGTCCACATACTCCTCCTTCCTGGGCTAGGAGGTAGTCTAAAGCTAATCTGTTTTGATAGATAGCAGTCCTCATTTTTGTAGCTTGCTGGGCCAGTAAATCTAATGCATTTGCTGTTTTATTAGTGATCTCAAGCCCTGCCTGTAACCTTATGATGCGCTTAAGCATGTAAGTAGGAATATGGTAACTCCATGACCTATTTTCCGCGTAGGTAGCTGGCCATTTCTGGGTCATAAATTGAATAGGTGATCTCATTGTAAGTACAAGTTCCTAGGTAAGTCCCTGTACACTCATAATAAGTATGGTATAATAGAGTCCTGGTTATACTGTTTTCTGACCATGTAGTATGTGTACAATGGGAACACCCTTCTATGGGTGTTTCTTCTAGCATGGTTAAGGTGGGTAACAACAGCAAAACAATGTACAGTGTATTCATATCTAGTAAGGACAGAAGAGGTCCTTACTTGGGGGAGGAGGTTGAGAATAGTGACAGAACAATAGTAAAACAGTTAATATTACAAGGAAAACTACTAGTCCTAAGATTTCTAACTGCATTTACTTGCTTGATGAGTCATCAAGCTTTGGCTGTGCATAGACTAGTCAACTTTCAGTGTGTGACTAGAGCAGGGCTTGTTGTTTCCTCAAGCTTCAGCCGTGTGTAGGCTGGTCAGACTCTAGAGTGACCAGAGCAGGGCGATCATCTTTAGCAGCAGTTCGGTCTCATCTCAGGATCAGCTGGGTTGGATGATCTGGGTCCTGCTGGCTGGTCCACTTGTCTTGAGTTGTCGGTTTCAGCCGACTGTGGTGGATCCAATGCACAACACCTGCAACTTTAACAGTAGTGGGAGTGGATAAGATTACAGTATAGGGCCCATCTCATATGGGTCCTAGAGAAGTTGGAGTCCACTTTTTAACCCAAACAGGATCTCCAGGTTTAAAGGGGTGTTCTGGGTCTGTTAGACTTATAGGCATTCTTTTCTGTACCCAGTCACGAATCTCTTGCATGGCTATTCCTAAAGCCTACATTTGTTTTCTTTTCTTTATCTTTTTTTCTTTTTTTTTTTTTTTGAGACGGAGTCTTGCTCTGTCGCCCAGGCTGGAGTGCAGTGGCGTGATCTCAGCTCACTGCAAGCTCCGCCTCCCAGGCTCATGCCATTCTCCTGCCTCAGCCTCCCGAGTAGCTGGGACTACAGGTGCCTGCCACCACACCTGGCTGATTTTTTGTATTTTTAGTAGGGACACGGTTTCACTGTGTTAGGATGGTTTCGATCTCCTGACCTTGTGATCCACCCACCTTGGCCTCCCAAAGTGCTGGGATTACAGTTGTGAGCCACCACACCCAGCCGCATTTGTTTTCTTAAAGTTAATTCCCCTAGTTCTCAGAGGTTTCCTTTAATTTGACTTATGATTGGGGGAGGCCGAATGAATAAAATCTCATAGGATGAATACCTAGTTTGTTTGGTGGGGGTGCACCTGACTTGGAGGAGGACTATAGGCAAAACCTAATTTCATTTCACATGAGTGTTTTGGCAATATTTCTTCAGTAGCTGCTTGAGTATCCAGTTCATGCATTTTACTTTTCCTGAACTTTGTGGCCAATAGGCTGTATGTAACTTCCAGTTTATTTTTTAACAGTTTTGTTAAATCTTGCATTATTTCAGCTACAAATGCCAGCTTATTGTCTGACTCTAAAGTTAAAGGCAGTCTAAACCTGTGGATAATATCTCTTAACAGTACTATAGTCACTTGTGCTTTTTCTGTTTTGATGGGGAAAGTTTCAACCCACCCTGAGAAGGTGCAAACAGACACTGGCATGTACCGATAGCCTCCAGCATGGGGCAATTCGGTAAAGTCTATAAGTAAGTTTTCACAAGGCATGGCTACTACTTATTGAATTCCTGGGGGCCACGTGGGTCTATGTTGTGGGTTGTTCGGAGCACAGGTTAAACATTGCGCACAGACAGCTCGAGTGATAGCAGAGAGCCATGGCACATAGAAATGACATTTTAATAACGTTTCTAGTGCCGTTTTCCCCATATGAGTTCCCTGATGAATTTGTTTTACAAACTTAGGAGCCAACATCTCTGGAATGAGTAATCTCCCATCGTATAATTTCCACCACCCTCCTTTAATATATTTTTAATCTTCCTGGGCAAACCAGGCTCTTTCATTTGGAGTATAACTTCGGTCCTCTTGGAGGGGGGTTCTGGGAGGAGAGGCATAGCTAAAGCTTCCTCTTTAAAATGTGGCACAATCATTGCTGCCTGCTTTGCCTCTCTGTCTGCCTTTCTGTTTCCTTTAGCTTCTGGCGTTCTTGCCTTTTGGTGCCTTCTACAGTGCATTACAGCTACTTTTTCTGGAGCCTATACAGCCTCTAAAAACTGTAGAATCTTTTTTATACTTTATTTCTTTGTCTCCAGCTGTTAAAAGTCTTCTTTCTTTATATATTGCTCCATGTACATGCAATGTAGTAATAGCATATTTAGAGTCTGTGTAAATATTGACTTTCTTGTCTTTTGGTAGCAACAGTGCTCTCATCAAGGCCATCAGCTCTGCCTTTTGTGCTGATGTTCCAGTAGGCAGAGGCTGAGCCTCTACTACTGAATCCAATGCTACCACTGCACACCTGGCTCGTCAGACACCCTCTAACACAAAACTACTTCCATCTGTGAAGTACTCGACATCTGGGTCTCTGAGGGGTTTGTCTGTAAGATCTTTCTGATTGGAGAATACCTCATCTACTGTTTCAACACAGTCATGAAGGGGAGCTCCCGGTTTGACTGGGAGCGAGGTAGCTGGGTTTAGAGTGTTCAGTTTTTAAAGGAATGTAGGGATTTTCACATAGAAGCCCTTGGTACTGAGTTATTCTCAGGTTTGACAACCAATGGTGACACTCAGAGTTATGACTGAGTGTGGCACCCAAATGATTAACTGCTGTCTTTAGAGTCAATTTGCTAGCTTCTTGTGTTTAGCAAGGTGGTGGCAGCTAATGCCTTAACACAGGGAGGCCATCCTAGCATCACAGAGTCCAATTGTTTGGATAAGTATGCTACCGGGTGATGCTATGACTTTTTAACTTGAGTCAGAACTCCTATAGCCATTCCTTTTCGTTCATGAACATATAGAAAGAAAGGCTTAGTTATATCTGGTGGTCCTAAGGCTAGGGCCTGAGTTAAAGCTTCCTTGATTTGTTTGAATACTGTTTTCAATTAGTGTCCTAAAGGAGGGTTTTTTTTTTCTGCCCCTTTTGTGGCTTCATATAACGGCTTAGCCATCAATGAAAAGTTTGGAATCCAGATGCGGCAAAATCCTGCTGCCCCTAAAAATTCTTTTATTTGACATTGGGTGGTTGGGGTTGGAAGTGCACAAACGGCTTGTTTTCACTTATAGCCAAGCTAGCATTCCCTGTGGCTCGCTATGAAACCTAGATATGTAACCCTTTATGGCAAATTTGGGCTTTCTTTTTAGATACTTTGTAACCTGCTTTCCACAGGAGATGGAGGAGGTCTTGGGTTCTCTGATAATAGTCCTCCCGGGTTGGGGCCGCTAAAAGAAGGTTGCCTGTGTACTATAACAAGGCACAGTTATCATTTGGCAGGGTATAGGCCTTGAGGTCTGAGGCCAGTGTTTCCCCAAAGATTGTAGGGGAGTTTTTGAACCCTTGTGGGAGCCTAGTCCAGGTGAGCTGCATAGCTTCCTTGTCCCATTGAAATGCAAAAATGGGCTAACTGGTGCTAAGCAAATATAAAAGAAAGCGTCCTTTAAGTCTAAGACTGTAAACCTAGTGGCACTTGTTGGAATAAGTACCATTAAAGTATATGGGTTTGGTGCCACTGGATGGATGGTCACCATGGCCCGGTTTATGGCATGCAAATCTTCACCAGTATATACTCATCAGATCTTGGTCCCAGCAGTGGCCTTCATAGTGGCAAAAGTGGAGAATTCCAGGGGGACTGGCATCAGATTAAGATTCTATATTTATAGAGCCATTCTAAATATTTGCAGACACCCTGTACAGCCTTTTGGGGAACCGGGTACTGACGAACCCAGACCGGAGTTGCTCTTGGTTTCAGTTCAGCTACTATGGCTGGATGCTTTACAGCCAGCCCAGGTGGGTTTTTTTCAGCTCATACCCCAGGAATTTTATTAGCTAGTCCAAATAATAATTTTTCTTCCCGTGTATGAGGCTGCATTGGCACCTGCATTTTCTTTCTATACAGTCTCCGTTCCTCACTTGTGGAATGGCAAGGGTTAACACCATGGCTTTCGAGTGACTCAGATTTAAAGTCATTTCTCCCTGCAGGCCAAAAGTAATTTGTGCTTGCAATTTTTGAAGTAGGTCTCTTCCTAACAAGGGAACTGGACAATTTGGGAGGTATAGGAATTCATGCTGGACTTCTTGTCCTCCTGTAACACACCTTCTGGGCTCATAGAATGGTCTTTTCTCTGAGACTCCAGTATCTCCTACAATAGTTGTATAGTTCGGCCGGGCACGGTGGCTCATGCCTGTAATCCCAGCACTTTGGGAGGCCAAGGTGGGAGGATCACAAGGTCAGGAGATCAAGACCATCCTGCCCAACATGGTGAAACCCCGTCTCTACTAAAAATACAAAAGTTAGCTGGGTGTGGTGGTGGATGCCTGTAATCTCAGCTACTCAGGAGGCTGAGGTAGGATAATTGCCTGAATCCAGGAGGCGGAGGTTGCAGTGAGCCAAGATCAGTGCCATTGCACTCCAGACTGGGTCAAAGGGCAAGACTCCGTCTCAAAAAAAAAAAAAAAAAAAAAAATTGTATAGTTCTTGGATAGTGGCCCTATGGATTGAGCTACTACAGAGTGTTCAGCCCCAGTATCTACCAAAAAGTCCGTCAACTGGCCTCCAACTTCTAATGTGACCATAGGCTCCTGAAGGCCCAATGAGAAGAAGCCTGATGTGTCCTAGTCCTCACATCCTTTAACTCCACCACCCCGACCAGATCAGTATCTGGTTTTTCTAAGGTGTGGCAGCCCTTGGCCGATGGCCTCTTCATCTCATGGCCTTGGCCATTTCTTTCATTGCTTTCTGGATATTCATCCTTCTACTGTCTTTTCTTTTTGTATCTCGCATATTGATCCCTCTCTAGCCTTGGTTGGCTTTCAAATCCTAGTCTAACTTGACTTCTTCTATGGCTACGTCTGCATCCACATCCCCTCACATTGTTAATCTCTTTTTCTATAAGGGCTGCTGTCAACAGATCAGCCTTTTTCTTAAGCCTCCGAACTGCTTCCTTCTTTGCCTCCTGGTCATAGTTAACATACGCTTTGGTGAAGCTGGGTAGCATTCATATCTGTAAAACCTAACTTCTGAAACTTTTGTTTGATATCACCCTGGGCCTGTCCTACAGATGAGGTATTCACCATACACTGATTTTCAGCAGCCTCAGGGTCAAGGTAAAAAGTCGGTATGCCTCACAGAGTCTTTCATAAAACTGGCTAGGGCTCTCATCACTTCCCTGAAGCACCTCTGAAATCTTCCCTGTATTAATTGCTTCCTTTCCACCAGCTCTTAGCCCCTGCAGAAGTGCCTCTCAGTACCTCTGCAGGCACAGAAGCTGAGTTGCATTCTCTGTGTCCCAGTTGGGATCTTGGTCTGGGAACTGACCCTGAGCGTGTGCCTGAGCATTCACTTTGTCTGCTGATGGATGGACTTCTACCCAGCAGAGAGCTGTCTGTGTTATTCTCCTGTGCTCTTCACTGTTAAATAACGTGAGGAGGAGCTGCCTGCAGTCTGGCCAGGTTGGATTGTGTGTCAGAAAGATGGATTGCATCAGATCTATAAGAGCTTGGGGCTTTATCCATGTAGGAGGGAGTATGGTGTTTCCAGTTTAAGAGATCAGTGGTTGAAAGGGCTGGTAAATGAAAATCTGTTGCCCCCCCTGAACTTGACCTTGGTCATCATAATAAATGGGCTCTTGCATCTCCTTGAGAGGCATTTGCATAGCTTGAGAATGGCCAGATCTGAGACAGCCTGCTTGACTATCTTGACTTCTTTCCCTGGCCTCTTGAGGCTCTGATCCTCTCCTTCGGGGTGCAACTTGGGGCACGCTGGCTCCTGAGTCTGGTTCCTGGGGGACTGTTGGCCTCGGTAAAGGGGGGTAGGCTGGGACATATGGAGGAAGAATCTCTGTTCCCTCTGGCGGTTTCTGCAAAATTGGCTTTTCTTGTTCTCTCTGGGACTTCCCTTTTAACTTTGCCGGCGAAACTGCTCTTACTTTTTACTCTTGGCTGGGCTCGGGCCACAAGTGTTTTGCAATAAGCTGCTAAAAAGGGCTGGATTCAGGCCGGTCTTATCTGTGCCATATTTAACTGTGAATCAATATAAGGAAATTGATCAGGTTACTCAGGCTGTCCTCTGACTCCTGTCACCATCTTAAATACACAGCCAATTATTTCCCTATCTATAGTTCCTTTGGTTGGCCATCCAACACCAAAAGAAGGCCATTCTAATTCACAGAGAGTTCTCAACCTCTGAGGGGTTAACTTAACTCCGTAATCTGCTGCAAAACCTTTCTTAAAGTTCTGTAACATGGACTCCAATGGAGTAAGTTTTGATGACTCTCCTACCATTCCTCCCTTTACAGCACAGCACATTCACTCTTGCACACTCACTCTTCCTCTTGTTTAGGCCTACTATACCATCTCCTATTACAGCAGTTTTCAGACGCTGCTTGGCTTTGGAGAGATTCTTATTCCTGTTACAACTCTGAGCTGTAGGGCAGCTCCTATTAGCTGTATGCAGATTGCTACTAGCCTTAGTTGGCCCCACACTTTGCTCGGGCACATAGTCCACATGAAGAGATCTGTAACTCCCCACTTCGTGGCTGATGAGCCTAATTAGGCCCCTCCATTCACACACTTTTACACATTTCCCCACTCCCAGTTCCTGTGTTCCTAATTGGGGTGATGAGCCACTCTCGCCACCTCCAGTTTCCTTTTCCTAACCAACTTAGTGAGCCACTCTCGCTTCCTGTGTCAATTAGGGTGTGAGTTTCATCCGAATTGATGAGCCATTCTCATCGCCCCCCAGCCCCTCTGGGTCAGACTATTAGGCACACCCTGGGAGATGATCAGGCTCCCTTTCCATCCTTATGATGGGTCCTGCCTTGGGCCCCAAAACCTTACCACAGTTCCTGAAGTGCGCTCTTTCTAGAATCATCCTGTAGCTCCTCTCAGGTTCCGTTGTGCTGCTGGGTAGGGGTGCCTGGTCACAGGAGAGCTGATTTCCCCTCCAGGCTGAAGTTCTCCTGGTGGCGCCTGGGGTCACAGGTCTCCCCTGGCTCAGGGCTGCAGCCCTCCATAGGCAGAGGAGACAGTAAGCCTGTCATCTCCACTCCTGGCTGGCTCGCCAAGAAATGTTACGGGAAACTGAGGAATGGAGAGATTGATATGAGAGTACAGGAAGATACTTATTTTTAGGTATGCTCCGGCTGAGTGGATTCATATCCAAAAAGCTGAGCATTAAACAAAGACAGAACAGGGTTTTTATAAGTGGACTTACAAAAGTAAAACAAAAGCAGTTAATCATATAGTGCATAATTTGTGGACTTGCATAGCTGGCCTTGTAGCTGCATCAAAAGAAAAACAAGAACTGGCTAAATACAAACATTTGTAAAACATAATCATGCTTAACAAGCCAGAGAAAGGAGTAACAGTAAAGGAATTTGTCTTTCTCTTTTTTTTCCTTCGACCTTGTTCTGGAGGGGAAGGGTGTCTCGAACCTGTTCCTTTGGCCTTGGCTTCTCAAACAGCATTATCTTATAACTGTCCTTGAAGTGAGCTTGCTAGGCAGAAGAAAACTTGTTCTTTTGCTTTTAACCCTTGCATTGCCTGTTACTTTTCTTGGAGTGAATGAATGCATATTTATTTTTAAATTTCTGCTTCAATCTTAGCACTTTGGGAGGCCAAGGTAGGTGGATCACGAAGTCAGGAGGTTGAGACCAGCCTGGCCACCATGGTGAAACTCTGTCTCTACTAAAAATATAAAAGTTAGCTAGGCCTGGTGGCACGTGCCTGTAGTCCCAGCTACTTGGGAGGCAGAGGCAGGAGAATTGCTTGAACCTGGGAGGTAGACGTTGCAGTGAGCCAAGATCACGCCATGTACTCCAGCCTGGCGACAGAACGAGAATCCGCCTCAAACAAAACAAAACAAAGAAAATGGTTAAAAATGGAAATTGTTATGTTTATTTTACCACAATTAAAAAAAAAACAAAGAAATGAGCTATCAAGCAAAGCAAAGACATGGATAAATGTTGAATGTATATCAGTAAGTCAAAGAAGCAAGTCTGATGAATTTTTACTGTATAATTTTTTTTTTTTTTTTTTTTTTTGGAGACAGAGTCTGGCTCTGTCACCAGGTTGGAGTGCAGTGGCGTGATCTCGGCTCACTGCAACCTCCACCTCCCAGGTTCAAGCAATTCTCTTGCCTCAGCCTCCTGAATAGCTGGGACTACAGGGGCCTGCCACCACGTCTGGCTAATTTTTGCATTTTTAGCAGAGATGGGGTTTCACCATGTTGGCCAGGATTGTCTCGATCTCTTGACCTCGTGATCCACCCGCCTCGGCCTCCCAAAGTGCTGGGATTACAGGCGTAAGCCCCCATGCCTGGCCATGATTCTACTTATATACATTATGAAAGGTAAAACTACGGAGATGAAAAACAAGTTGGTAGGAATTCAGTAAGGGAGGAGGATTGAATAGGTAAATCACAGGATATTTTAGGATGGTGACATTATTTTGTGTAATACCATAATGGTAGTGACATGGTACATGACACCTTGCATTTGTCAAAACCCTTAGAACCTAATGTATGCAAATTAAAAAAAATCATTTAGGAGCTCAGATAGATGATCCCAAGATGAAATAAAGAACGTGACAAAATAATCCAACCATATTATGAAAAACCCTCAATGAAGGAAATGGGAGAAAATTGCTCACCTAAGTAACTTTGGAAATAAGTGGATTCTGTAAAACTAAATGCAAAAGGAATACAGACTGGGGAGCAATATGGCCAAGTGGGGGCCTCCAGAAATTGTCCTCCCTGCAGGAACACCAAATTGAACAACTATTCACACAAAAAACACCTTCATTACAACCAAAAATCAGGTAAGTAATCATAGTACCTGGTTTTAACAGCACATTAAGGAAAGAGACACTGAAGAGGGTAGGAAAAATAGTCTCAAATTGCCTACAGCACCCCTCTCTCGTTGCCTGGCTGTGGCTACATAGCCGACAGAGAGAGAATCTGTGCACTTGTGGGAGGGAGAGTGCAGTGATTATGGGACTTCGCATTGAAACTTAGTGCTGCCCTGTCACAGTGGAAAGCAACACAAGGCAGAACTCAGCTGGAGCCCATGGAGGGAGCATTTGGATCAGCCCTAGCCAGAGGCATGTTGCCCATCCCAGTGGTCAGAACTTGACCTCTGGCAAGCCGCCACCATTTGGTAAAAGTCTCGGGTCCTAAATAAATGTAAAGGCAGTCTAGGCCCTAAGGATTGCAATTTCTGGGCAAGTCCTATTGCTGTGCTGGGCTTGGAGCCAGTGTACTCATACTTGGGTACTTGTGACATGTACATGGAGCCAGGGAGGCCAAGGGAGTGCTTACATCATCCCTCTCCCAACCTCAGACAGTGCAGTTCACAGCTCTGGGAAAGACTCCTCCCCTCTACCTGAGGAGAGAAGGGAGAGTAAAGAGGACTTTGTCTTGCAACTTGGATACCTGTTCAGCCACAGTAGGATAGGGCACCAGACAGAGTCCTAAGGACGCCATTCTAGGGTCTAGCCATCACATGACATTTCAAGACACACCCATGGACCAGAAGGGAACTCACTGCCTTAAAGGGAAGGAATAATCAGCAGTGGTAACCAGGTATTACTCACCCTGGGCCTTGGGTAAAACTCAGAGCTGTGTTGCCTTTAGATGTGACCCAGCACATTCCTAGCTGTGGTGGCTACTTGAAGAAAGAAGGTGGAGGGGTAAAGGACACTTTGTCTTGTAGCTTGGGTACCAGCTCAGTCACAGTGGGATAGAGCACCAAGCAGTCTCTTGGTGTCCCCAATTCCAGCTCATGGATGGCATTTCTGGACCTGCCCTGGGCCAGAGGGGAGTCTCCTACCCTGAAGGGTGAGTCCCAGGCCTCACAGCATTTACACAAGCTGATTGAAGAGCCTTTGGGCCTTGAGTGAACGTTGGTGGTAGCCTGGCAGTACTTGCTGCAGGCTCAGGGCAGTGGTGCCCATGAAGAGAGACTCCTGTTTGTGGAAAGGGGAGTGAAGAGGGGGAAGGACTTTGTTTTGTGGCCGGGGTGCCAGCTCAGCAGCAGTAGATAAGATTTCTAAGGTTCTTGGCTCCAGACTCTGACTCTGAGATGGCATCTTTGGATACACCCAGGGCCAGGGGGACCTTACCACCCTAAAAGGAAGGACACAAGCCTGGCCCTATTTGTCACCTGCTGATTGTAGATCCCTTGGGTCTTGAGTGAACATAAGTGGTAGTCAAGCAATGGTCACTGTGGACCTTGGGTGAAACCCAGTGCTATGTTTGCTTCAGGTCTGACCCAGGGCAGTCCCAGTGGTGGTGACCACAGGGGAACTTATGTCACCCCTCTCCCAGCTCCAGTCAGCTCAGTACAGACAGAGAGAGACTTCATTTGTGGGGGAAAGTAAAGGATGAGAACAAGAGTCTCTGCCTGGTAATCCAGGGAATTCTCCTAAATCTTACCCAAGACCACTAAAGCACTACCTCTACAAGTCTGCAAGAGCCACAACATTACTGGGCTTGGGGTTCCTCCTAGTGCAGATATGGCTGCAGTGATAAAAAAAACTTAAATCACAGCATCCATGTCCCTTCGAATGGCTGGAAATCCTTCCCAAGAAGGACAGATACAAACAAGCTCAGACTGTGAACACTACAATATACACCTAATTCTTCAATACCCAGACACCGATGAACATCCACAAGCATCAAGACCATCCGGGAAAACATGACCTCACTGAATGAACTAAATAAAGCACCAGCGACCAGTCCCAGCTGTCTCTTAGCAGAACTGATCAAGCAGAAGAAAGAATTAGTGAGTTTCAAGACAGGCTATTTGAAAATACACAGTCAGAGGAGACAAAAAAGAATTAAAAAGAAGAAAGCATGCCTGTAAGATCTAGAAAATAGCCTCAAAGGGCGAAATCTAAGAGTTATTGGCCTTAAAGAGGAGATAGAGATCTGGGTAGAAAGTTTATTCAGAGAGATAACAGATAGTTTTCCAAACCTAGAGAAGGATATCAATATTTAAGTACAAGAAGGTTGTAGAACACCACACAGATTTAGCCCAAATAAAAGTACCTTGAGACACTTAATAACCAAACTCCCAAAGGTCAAGGGTAAAGAAAGGACCCTAAAAGCAGCAAGCGGAAAAGAAACAAATTACATACAATGGAGCTCTAATATGCATGGCAGCAGGCTTTTCAGTGGCAATCTTACAGGCCAGGAGAGAGTAGCATGACAAATTTACAGTGCTGAAGGAAAAAAACTTTAATCCTAGAATAGTATATCCAGTGAAAATATCCTTCAAACATAAAGGAGAAACAAAGAATTCCCCAGACAAAAGCTGAGGGAGTTGTCAACACCAGACCTGTCCTACCAGAAATGCAAACAAGAGTTCTTCAATCTGAAAGAAAAGAATGTTAATGAGCAATAAGAAGTCATCTGAAGATATAAAACTCACTGGTAGTAGTAAGTACACAGAAAAGCACAGAATATTGTAACACTGTAATTTTGGTATGTAAACTACTCACATCTTCAGTAGAAAGACAAAAGACGAACCTGTCAGTGTTACAGCTTTTTAAGAATTTGTCCAGCAGGCTTTCTTGTTTTTACTGGAAGCCTCCCTCACAAAAAATGAACCTGTCAAAAATAATAACTACAACAACTTTCCAAGATATAGACAATATAGTAAGATATAAATAGAAACCGCAAAAACGTAAAAAGCAAGCAGATGAAGTTAAAATGTAGAGTTTGTATAAGTTTTCTCATTGCATGTTTGTTAGTTCATTTGTTTATGCAATCAGTGTTAAGTTGTCATCAGTTTAAAATAATGGGTTGTAAGATATTATCTGCAAGCCTCGTAACCTCAAATCAAAAAACATACAACAGATACACAAAAAATAAAAAACAAGAATTTAAAACACCACCAGAAAAAATCACCTTCACTACAAGGAAGACAGGAAGAAAGGAAAGAAGTAGGTGAAGACTACAAAACAACCAGAACACAAATAAAATGGCAGTAATAAATTCTTACTTAACAATAATAACATTGAATACAAATGGACTAAACTTCAATCAAAAGACACAGAGTGGCTGAATTGATTAAAAACACAAGACCCAATGATCTACTGCCTGCAAGAAATATACTTCTCCTATGAAGACACACAAACACTGAAAGTAAATGGATGGAAAAAGAAGGGGCAGGAGTAGCTGTATTTATATAAGACAAAATCGATTTCAGGACAAAAGCTATTTAAAAAAGACAAAGAGGCCGGGTGCGGTGGCTCACACTTGTAATCCCAGCACTTTGGAAGGCTGAGGTGGGTGGATCACCTGAGGTCGGGAGTTCAACACCAGCCTAACCAACATGGAGAACCCTGTCTCTACTAAAAATACAAAAT